TCATACAACTTTAAAATTAAAAATAATATCCATAAAATATACAAAATTTTACTTACAACTTTCCGCAGATGTTACGTATGATCTTTTCCATGGTTTTTTTAAAAATTTTGTGGCGAAATATGAATTGAAAGTGAAATTTTGTAAGTGGGAATCTGAATGGATGCTGAAAAAAATTTTGAAAGAGTGAAAAGAATCTTACATTGTTCAATTCTTTACCAATATCTTTCATTGTTTAAATTCATAGTGAAGTTCTTTGCTGGAGTATTTTTTGATTGTTGCTAAAAACAAACAATGCTTCAACAATACCCCGCTTTTTCTAAATTTCTATTTTAGAGTTTTAGACCATCTCAAATAGTACAAGAATAAGAAATTATTTAAACTGATTACATTCTTTATAATACTTAGAATTTTAATACCAAACATTTCATCACATTCTTGTAATTTTATGAATATTTAATACAAGCGTGCACTGACAGTAAAACAACTCACCCATAAGGGTGCCTATTTACTGACAGTACAGGCAGAAATGTGGAGATCGCCGTTGAAATTCCTTGCATAGAAGGCTTCCAAAAGAATAGAAAATTAAAAATATAATAAACAAATAAAAAAATAAAAGCGACATTGGGGAGACATTTTATTTGATAAAAATCAACATAAATAGATTAATTTCATTATGTATATGCATGTAGAAATTATTCCATGATAACATATTTATGTGTACCAAGAAAATACATGTGATTTTTCTTTTATAGGGAAAAAAATTAAATTTTAAGTATCTGAAATTTTTAAATTTGTTTCGAAAGCCTATTGTCTTGTTTAAAATATAGTTTTCTTAAAGATTCACCTGAAAAGAAATTTAATTTTAAGTTATAAATAATACTAGTAATTGATGAAGAGTTTTACTATCATTATTGGTTAATGAGAAGCTGGATGCCTGGAGTTTTATTCGCCATTTTGCAAATTACACGCCACTGCCCACAATTTCTGAGTTATTGTTCAACTTCTCCTTCTGTAAAGTCCTATGGAAAAATCCCGAAGGAATTTTACATTGAATATGTATAACAGTTAATTGTAACCGTGACTGAATATACTAATTTTGTCCCAAAACAAACTTTTGTTTGAGGAAAAGTTCGAAGGTTGGTTACTTTTATAATATATATCATTAAGTTCCACATTTGTTTTCTAATGTTTTGAAAGCTCCATTAAATTAAAATAATTCTCTTTTAGAAAATTATTAGCAGTCAGCAGAAGTCAAATTTGTTGCTGGAGCTAAAGAGCTTATTTATCACGCAAGCTCCACTGAGCTGCTCCAGGTTCGAATCCCAGCTGTGGCTAGTTTACACGAATTATGCTCCCTGCTCACACCGGCCACAGTACTGACATAAAATATCCTCAGTGGTAGACGGGATATGGGTTAGAATCCTCTTGCTATGAGCCTTACCGTGAGAGTTTTTTTTGTGGTTTTCCACACCATGTAATGCAATTACGAGTTAATTCCATCAAAAAGTCCGCCGCGGAGGCAACATTTCTCCCAATGCTTGATCCAGGAATTTCCTTGTCTTCTGAATTGGGTTCAAAATTAAAAAGTCTACGGAGTTGAACATTAGTAGTCGTAAACCCAAAAATTGGGTCGGCTGTTCAACGACACTTATGAAATAAATTCCCGTGGTACAATACATGACTCGCGCGTCTCGAAGAGGTTAAGAAAGGTTAGAATATTAAAAAGTTAATTTGTTCAAGTTGTTGTAGTTACTTTACGTCGCACTAGAGCTGCACAATGGGCTATTGGCGACGGTCTGGGAAACATCCCTGAGGANTTTTCATTTTCAACAGTTTTTTGACTTAACAATTTTTTCAGTTTCAAAAATATTTTGTTTAAAGATCACATTACAGTTATTCTGCAAGAAGTATTCCTCATAATACCAATTTAGGTTATCTCTTCAGTCATGATGACAAAAATTTATAAACATTTGTTAAAAATGTGTAATTTAAAAAGCATTTTTACAGGAAAAATTTCAATCTGGAATTAGACTTGAGTATTGTTTACCTTGTTTGAAAACAAAATAAAAAAAATGACACAGTGGTTGTTATTGTGAAGTCCCAGATTTCAGTATTGTCTTCATTTCACTTTATTTATTATTTACCTTACATATTTATCACTTTAATAGCTAAATATCCGAAAAAAATTTCTTTTGATTTTATTTTTTCTATGTCCAAAATTTGCCTTCTGTAACATTTTTTCTTTTCTTTTTCTTTCTTATTTTCCTTTCTACTTTCTTTATATTTATTTATTTATACTTTTCTTTCTTGGTATTTTTATTGCAATTATTAACCCGGATTTCAGGAAATATGTAAAGACAAATTGCTTTTATAATCAGAAAAGGTGATCAGTCTTCTCAGATTTTGCATTACAACCTGTTTAACACAATCACTAATTGAAATCCAAAACAAACTTTCAAATTTATTATGGTATTAAGGTAAATCAGTTTTTAATTTTTGACTGATCTAGCTATTTTCCTTATTTTTAATCTGAAGTGCAAGTTTGGTTAATTTGCAAATTACCTTTTATTTCTTTTTTAGTTCATTTGTGTCATTCTTTCTTTCTTTTTGGACATAATTTTTTTTTTTTCAAAAATTTTAGTTTGGATATTTTTTTTAAGTAATTTTTGTGCAGAGATCTTAATTAGTAATTTAATTTGTCACAATTGTTGTGTGTTAGAAAATTCAAATATTTTATTTCTATTTCCAACGTGTTTTTGAAGTGAATTTGGTTACTAATACTTTTCAATTTGTGTTTGATCATTTTCCGATCTGTATGCTGGAATTAAAGTTCAGAAATAAAGAAACGATTTGTTTATGGAAATTACTGAGCTAGAACAGAGCTATGAACTAATTACCAACGTTGGACTAAAGCATTAATGTCTGGTTGTACTTCAATTTAAATTCTAAACACAAATATTTTATTCATTTTTCCAAATTATTTGTGTGAGTTTTAACATTTCTTAATTTAATTTTTGCCACACCGTAATTGCATTCATATATTAAAATTGAATTTCAATAATTATTGTAGTTGCAGTACGAAGAGAAAAATATTTAAATGGCATTTTCATCTTAACCCTACACCCTATAGCAAAACAAAAATATAAATTCAATTAATCAAAATATCATAGAAGCTGTAATACATAAAACAATAAATTTGAAAATAATTTCTCGAAACATTTCTTATGACATTCAATTCACTGAAAATAAAAATTTCAAGAAAAAAAATTTCAACAGTAAATACGATTAATACATAAAAAGTAGTTTCACTTTGAAACATCAAATATTATTAAAAAAAATTAAAATAATAATCAATAAAAATTCAAGAAATTGTTTTATGAGAATTGTAAAAAAAAAATAAACTCAAAGGATACGTGAAAAAGTTCGAATTAGTCCAAGAAGATATTTTGAAAACCGCAACATGATAGGAAAACTTGATAGGAAACTTGATAGGAAAAAAAATTTTGTTTCTTCCGATTCCAAAACACATTTTGAAAATCACAACATCAGTTGTGAAAGTTTTGTCAAGCATCACTGGCTACGGGCAGTGTGCGAGTGGGTGACCACTTGGATCAGCCTGCGTAGGGACCGAGGGTGTGCGGTATTGGTCCTCATTAAACTGTGCTACCGTAAAGTGCTCGACTTTAGTGCGCGCAGGTCGTCGGGCTACCGAAGCAGGGGGTGCCATCCCCTCCGCAGAAGATCAAAATTGTGATGGCATGTCTTCGGATCATCCTCCGGAATGTTTACCAGACCGTCGCCAATAGCCCATTGTGAAGCTCTAGTGCGACGTAAATTAACAACAACAACAACAACAATATTTCATTAAAAAAATTTTTTAAAAAAATTGCATTTATCTGACAAATAATTTCAAATGAATAGACGCCATCGAGTTAATTGTGTAATGGAAACGACAAGTAAGAGTTCTAAGTCTTGAAATTAATGGATACATGCCACCTCTATGCAGTTTTCTTTTCATAATCGGTGATTTGAGCTCAACCTATGCTTTTGATTTTATGTGTTTTAGATGAAATTAAATTTTTTGAAAAAAAATTTGTGACTATTTTTAATTTTTGTATTTTTAAAGGATGAATTGGATCAAATTAAGCTGCAAATTTTGTGCTTATTTACATTATTTGTAAATGAGAATATTATGTTTATGTAGATTCATGTTACAAAATAGAGTGCTGAGAACAATAAAATTATATCTATTAATAGCAACATTTTTGTTGCACTGTAGTTATAATAATTTACATTAAAAACTAGATTAAGGCACATAACTAACAATTAAAATCATATAAGGTGATTCATTTATAAATTATGTATTTATAACATAACTGATTGTAAATTAAATCTTTTAAACCAGCGAAATCAACAAGATTGCGATAAGGGGAGTGGTTTTTAGGGAATAATCGTTGGTAAGAAATCGTTGTTGTTCATTCTAACGACAATGACTCTAATTTGGTGTAATATGTGTTACTGATTTTTATAAGATGTGAATTGTATTATTTTTGTGTTACCAAACATTGCATGATTTTGTAATGTGTAACTCTAATACCGTTTGTCTATCTAAAGAACTCCTCTAGCCATTTGTCTGGAGTAGTGGCGGTGACTATGGTTACGAGGTTTAACTATTTCAAGTATTAATTTAAGGCAGGCTTTGACTTGAGTCAGAGAGAGAAAAGGAATCAGGGGAGAAAAATGCTCCCCTATTTGAAATGCGCTATTTCTTGTTTTCATGGCAGCAGATGGTCTTAGATTTAGGGAGGGGAGTTCTTTCCATAGACAAACTATAGGCAGGCCTCACACTGAGGAGGCAAGAGGTAAGCTTGCCCATACTTTTGCATTAGAATCATGCGCGTGGACATTTTCCACATGTATGTCTCTTTTTTACCGCTTGCCTCTTCAGTGTGTGACCAGATGAGGTTCAACTCTTATGATTATTGATTCATTTTAGGAATGAAATATTATTCGAAATATTTGGTATTCTGGTGCTTATATTGCAATGTTTTCTCCAAAGCAACATTGATTCATCAAAAGGAAAAACCAGTAAGATTTTGTATTTTGCAACTTTATTGCCATTAAATAGTGAATGAAGGTATTAAGTGACAGTGTTTGAGATTGTTTTATATTTTTTTGCAAATAGAATAGACGCCTCACAGTTTTCCCACTTTTCCTTTCTCCGTTTCCATGGTTTCGGCAAATCGTGATTTTTTTTTTTTTACCACGGCATAGAGGGAGGTATTTAGCCAATCTAGGCTGCGCAAGGTCGATTTTAAAAGTTTCAACTAGAGATGTAGCAATGAGATTCTATGTACAGTAAGCAGTCCTGGGAGCTGGAAAAAAAATCTGTTTTATTCCTTTTAGGAATGAAATGAATCACACACTCTACAGCAGTTGCAGTTCTTGCAGTTGCTCTTCTGATCAACTTCATAAATCTGTTTCACTCTGCAATTGTTGTTGTTGTCTTGGCCATTAAGGCAATAGGCGTGATTGTTCTTGTTTTCCATAGGCGCCCTCTATGGCCAAGAGTTTGACTTCTGCCTCACTCATACGTCACACCCGTTTATAGGGCTGACCCATTCATATATCCATTTATTCATCTACGGATCGTAATTTTGACCTGAACCAGAGAACGATCATTCTCTAATTCAGTACCCGTTGAGGTATTATTTGTTATGGAGACATGGAGGACTTTGTGACCTAACAGATTTAACGTGCAACAGTCACCATTTACTACTACACGGGGAGTCTTCGGTAAGCTGGATTCGAGTCCAGCGCTCTACCAACCAGGCTTCACACTGCAATAAAGTACCCTTATAAAAAGCAAATTTTGCATTTTTTATTTTTTTATGTCAGAGGAGCTTGATTCTCGGTTATGAAGTAGGTAAGCATGTTTGATAACCGTAAATGTTTTTACTGCACACTAGGTACAGTAATTAACTTTAAGAAAAGGAAATAATAAGTCTAATTTTTCTTTCATAATGTTTTTCGTTAAAAATATCTAAACATAGTGCTTTTAGTTACATTTCCGGGCTTTATTCGTTGTATTTTTTTTAATGATCTGCTGTTATTTTTTATTTTGAGAATCAATCCATTTTCAAATAGTGAAAAGAAAGAAATAACGAGCAATTGCATATATTTATTTAGTTTTTTTATTAAAATATCCTTTTATTGATTGAAGCGCTATTTTATGGTAGAAAAACACAGGAGGAACTATAATTTAATATTTTTCTACTTTACTGACAGCTCATTGTGAGCCAAAGAATTGTTTAGAATTTTTTCCATTCTCCCGTCTTTCTCGTGAGGGGGTTACAGATGTTCACTTTTAGTGATTCGAAATATCTATATTGCAGCCAACCAATCTCATTCTGAATCTGCCTCTGGTTCGTGTTCCAACCTGTTTAAAATGAAAGATTATGGATTGTAAGGAGGGTGAGACTATTCGGTAGATTCGGTCCAGCACATTTGATGCGATTCAACTTAAACTAAACTTTGCTATTAAAACAGTTATTTGAAACTCTAATTTTATTACATTCTAGTATGAAAAAATTCTAACTAATAAAAAGTGAAAAAAAAAGTGTTCTGCTTTTTACTTTTTTTTTATTTTGCACTCTGTCTACTGAATATTTAAATATGGACAATACTAAATATTTAAACGACTATTCAAATTATGAATTATGTGATATTTATAATACTATTATCTCTACAAACATATTTTTTTTAAAAAATTTATGTTTTAGAAAGAGAGAAACAAAAATTTTGTCAGTGAGCTTTTTATTCTGGACTCAGTGATTAAGGAAATTGAAACCTCCGAAATTGCGTGTTTAGGAAAATGAGTACGCGTGTTTAGGAGCTTTTGATTCTGCATTTTCAATTTATTTCTCTTATGAAAGTTGTTACTTTTTTTTAAAAACAAAAGACCTATGAATCGAAATGAATGCGTTATGTGATGTCCGTTTGCTTAAATAACTTAGTATATATTTTGAAACGATAATAAAAGTCAAATTTTTTTTCAAAGTTGTCACGTATCCTATAAATTTATAAAGAGGCTGTAAATTGACGTTGTTCGAATTTGGAATTTTTAAAATCACTAAATCGTTCTGAATACGAAGATATACCTGAAAAGGTACATGCGTTATAAACACACCTACCCCGAGTATGAAATCTGACACTTTACCTAATTATGTTTATCCTCAGTGATTAAAAAGTACAGGAAATTAAGTACAAAATTCCTCGCTTAGATGTTAAATTTGGGTCCAACATTGAAAAGGCGAATTCTGAGATGTGTTCATTTTCTTAAACACGTATTTCGAGCTGCGTGATTTTTCCAAAACACGCACTTAGAGAGCTCTGTCAATTTTCCTAAACACGCATTTCGAGCTATGTGCTTTTTCTAAAACGCGCATTTCGAGCTCTATCCATTTTCTTAAACACGCATTTCGAACTGCGTCCAGAATAGAAAGTTCCATGACGATTCGTTACCGATCTCTGATATAAAATCTGTATCTACTAGAAAAAATCTGATAGATTTGGATACGAAACAAGCTGGTGGAATCCTGAACCATGGATGTCAGATCATAAAGTTCCTGTCCTGATTGGACCGCCTCTGCAGAAACCAAACTTCGAAAGATCTCGTGGAAAAATCGAACCAATTCGACCTCCTGCTCCTTTGGAACATATTCACCCGCCAGCACCTTTGGTGCAATCAACATCCTCAACCCCAATCATTCGACAACAGAAAATTGAAAACGAGCAACTCACAAGAGTACACGCAGAGGGTAAGATTAATTCTCTAAAAATGACTCTTTATTAAAACGTATTATACACTCTTGACACCAAAGTCAAATTATGCATTTCTGGACTAATGACCCAGATAACAGTGTAAGGTTGATTTTGAATTTCAGCAACAACGTTTATCACAAAGCCTAACAAAGTCTATAAAAGACTAGCAAGTAAACCATGCAAACTTGAAACAATGGTAAATTTAACTATCTTAATTAATGCGTTATGAGGTTCGCATTAAGCTTGCATAAATAACTCTATTTTTTGAGATTGTATCAGGGTTCGTTGATTTAAATCAGCTTGATTTAAATCACGATTTAAATCATGATTTAAATCAAATGATTTTTTTAAAAAAATCATTGATTTAAATCAACTAATTTTTTTATCTATATATATTGATTTTAAAAGTTAAAAGACAGTGTTTTGAATTTTTGATACTTTTATTATTTTCTTTTCTCAGTATTAAAATTTAATTTAAATAAATTGCTGCATTAATTAATTTTAGTTAACGAAATTACTTTCTTGGTGTGTGTTAAATTCCAACACATTTGAAATTACATTTTTAAAAATCTTTTGATTCTTGAGATTGAAAGTACAGATTAAAGTAAACATTTAATGCTGTCTTAATATAGAATCATATTATAA